TGCTAGGCGTCCAAGAGACCAGGAGCAGCCAAGGATTAGAAGAAATAACGGCCATCGGAGAGAAATTGAGCTGTGGTGTGAGGAGAACCAGTGGAGAACTGGGCAGCTATCTTGGTGAGTGACCGGCGTTAGCTACAGAATGTTAGCTAACGTCACATCACAACATTGTGAAGTTAGCTATCATATATCAGGCTATAACTAACGTAGCATTGATAATATAGTAACGTTACTGGCAGGACTGTTGATACTGATCCATAACAGAAACTAATGCGCAAGTATCAGCCGTATCTCACGTTACCTAATGCAACTCCATACTACGGTGCTGTGTACCGGAGGAGAGACGCGAGATACGGCTGATACTTGACGATCTGGCGGAGAAAGGTTGTGGAGCCTCCGTTGATATGCCGTTGTAAATGGCTTGATGGAAAGCAGGTGTGTAGTCGGGGAGGGTGCACAGCTGATTGCAGCAGGTGAGTGGAGGTTGAGCCGGGAGCCAGGAGTGACAGCCACCACGCACACACAAACAACACAGACAGGGGGAAACAAACAAACACAAAGGAGACGGCTGGAGCAGTACAGCCACCACAGCGTTACCTAATGCAACTCCACACTATGTCTTACGGTGCCGTGTACCGGAGGGGAGAGAGAGAGAGAGCAGCAAAGGGGGGGAGAGAGAAGTAATACGGTTTCCTGATAAAGCTGTGGAGAGTATGTGCTGCAGGGAGGTGGATGCACAACGCACCCAGGAACGAACGTTAGCTCCGGTCCTTTTTACTGTGGACTCGATGTCCTGACAGGCTGGTATTTGTGCAACCTGCACAAACACAATACTGCACCATGATTACAAATGGTGAAATACAATGTAAAACTACCGAAAAATACCAGCTCCTTAAAACACAACCGCTCTACTCAACGCAACTCTACTATACCCGCGGTCAGAGAGCGGAGATGTGTCCCCTGCGTGATGTAATATGACGCGTTTGACGTATGACCTTAAAAAAAAGCCGTTTTTAAGAGCAGAGCTCAAAATTGCTCCTTTCCCTCTGAATTCCTGCCCTTATGTCTCGTAAAACATATCAAATCCTGCATTCACTTTTTTAATTGTAATTTTCAAGCAAGTTTAAGCATAAATGTAGAATAAATAAAAACCTGCAAGATGCTCTTTAAGTCATCACTGTTATATGCTTTTTTAAACAAATTCCACTAAACAAATAACACAATCCATGTGACTTGCCAGGTTTTGATCCTTCTGACAGCTCGGCAGAGCTGGATACTTTGAGTCAGACTTTAATCAAATGACATTAGGCTTGACTCAACTTTTCTCATTGTGCGCCTGCAACATAGAATAACAAGCAGAAATATTTAGAGCTTTTATCCTTACAGCCATTTAAATCTTTATTTATTTTGTAGTTATATTGATGTTTGAAATTGGCTTTTGCATTACTACCCCAATGTATTTCTGAGTCAAATAAAGGTTGAATGAATGAACCCTTATTACCACATGATTTTAAACATCTCTCTTTTGCTTGACTGCTGCTATTCGGTTAATCTCCAGAGGACACCATTCCTTATTATCAGTAAGACAATACTTTACGAAACCTCATTCCATTACTTGGAATACTTCCCGCAAAACGCATGTTAACCAGCTCCATAGCTGCAGTCCATGTGAATATGGTCCTGCCTTAAAGAAACATACACTGAGGCTCATTATTGACACTTATTTGACCCCTGTATGGATCCCTGCCTGGTGTTCTCTAGGACTAAAATGTCCATCCAGCAATGGAGTACACTCATCTTAGTATTATCTTCACTTCCCCACTTCAAACCTTGTTGAAGTGGTGAAGGAAAAGCATGAATAATAGATTTTTCTACCCAAAGGGGAAAAGGGGAAAATAAGTCAGAGGGGGGATAGGCTGAAGGAGGGGAAGTATGAAGTACCTGACTTTATACATTTCATCCCAATACTTTCAGTTTAAAACCTTAACATTAAAACCAAATACAACAGTGCGTGTGATGTTACAAAGGATCGAATGGGTGGCACTTACTTAAATTAAGAATGTTCGCAGAAGGGTTGGAGGTAATTCAGAAATAATAGAGTCTTCCTGGAGCCCACCTTTAAAATGGTTAGATTGGATATTCAATAGTCTATTCATCACATTTTATGTAGGCACTTAAGCACTTATACATAATATATTTATAATTCATATTCAGCCGGTCGTAGTGGAATGTGTGAAGCTGTTAAGTGCTGCAAGATGCCATCTCTCTCCTCTCAAATGTTTCGCACCATTTATTTCTATTTTCATTAAAAGAAACTTGGGCATTTGCCTTTCAAATCTGGCACTGAATTATATTGATCGCCTATTCTACAATAAAAAATGTATTATTCTACCTTTTAAGTTTCTTACAATGCGAAGTAGCTTTAGAATTTCCAAAAAGTTTTATCTGACAATAGAAACAAAGTGCGGCTCTGTGAGGATCCACTCAACGTAATGCTTACCTAGTAGGGCTAAGTCTGTAGGGAATGTCCTACATTTGAAAAAGTATTGAACAAATTGAAATGTAGACCTTATGGTGGCACTAAGTAAGATGATAAGTTATTTCGACCATAACAATGTTAACATCTTTGTCTGAATCACATTTAATACAATTCATCCAATGGTTAGTGACAATGCCATCAATAGGGTCATGATATGGCCAAAATATCCCGTCATTTACTGCAAAATGGATGCATCATTGTTCCCTAGTAAAAAATCTGCAGGCATATTTGCAGTTTGCAAGACCCAGTAATCATTGTGCTGAGCAGACAGGATGATGCTTGCCTTGTTCCGAGAGTTTCACAAGGCCTACTGAAGGTGACACCGAGGCCAATGCAGCGCATAATCTGAAGTCAGCAATAAGGCAGGTGGCAGAAGGGAAGTGTCTTCGGTTTATCCTCCCTGTCCAATTCTTCTCTTCCTGCCTCCCTGTTCCTTCTGTGCTTTCACAACTTGCTATTCTCTCTGTCTCCTTGTCGCCTGATGACTTGTTCTCCCTTCCTCTGCATCTCTGTATCAGGCTGTCTTTCTTACCCCCGATCCCTCTCTCTCTCTCTCTCTCTTTTTCTCACCCTCCCTCCCTCCAAGAGTAGGCATTTGATGTTGCCAGCCCTAGCACAGAGGTAGACAGTGATGCTGTATAGCTTTTCTCTGCCTATTAATGTCTTAACTCCTGCTCTGCCTTCTGCAGGAGGTCTACTGAGACATCATCTCCCACACCGCATGCTCTAATGACAAGACTGGACATCCTAATCAAGTCTACTGTGTTTGTGTGTGTGTGTGTGTGTGTGTGTGTGTGTGTGTGTGTGTGTGTGTGTGTGTGTGTGTGTGTGTGTGTGTGTGTGTGTGTGTGTGTGTGTGTGTGTGTGTGTGTGTGTGTGTGTGTGTGTGTGTGTGTGTGTGTGTGTGGTACAGGTACATTCAAATGAGGTGAGAAGCAGGTTTCAAATTCATATAAGCTGAAATGAATGTGGTGACAGGCAGCAGCAGCAGCAGCAGCAGCAGCAGCAGCAGCACCTTGTCCTTCTGACAGGAAAACACTCTGGCCTGATGCAATCTGATGAAAATATTATTTTTTGGGGGCATAACATAGATAAATATTACATGAAATATATTGATTTTAAAATAAAAACATTGGAATTGGACATATAATAACATTACACAGTAACAATTAGCAGGTTCAATATTCTACAAAAAGGTATCACAACATTATCATAAGCTCTGCCTTGATATTTCCCCGCAAATGTAATATCATCAAGGCATCTTTCTGTCCTAAATTCTGAAACAATTCTGCTCCAGGAAATGGGGAGAAACTAATGTATCTGTGGCAATAAGATAAACTTGTAAATTAAGATAAATATCCATTGTGATGGGTGCCAAAATTGCTTTTCCAGTGTCAAACAAAAATAATGATATCACGAGAGCACAATCTTCACAGTTAGAGTTGAGGGTTTACTCAGACTGCTTTAAAATGGATGCCCTGCCACACTGTCACACGCTGACGTTTACCTGTGCGGTGGCTTCACAAACAGGACTCATTATTTCAGCTATAGTTTTAGTTGAGCAAAGAAGCATGAACCAGAAGAGAGAGCATTTTTACAGATCCTATTGTAGTATTGGGCAGAGACAGAATGTATTCACGATAATGTTTTTAACTCCTAAATGCACAGTATTTGAAACACTCAACCATGTCTAATCTAACTCTAAACCTAACTATTTACAACTTCGACATCTGAATCTCAACGATTTACCTACACAAAACTGTCAACATAATAACCCTACCCCACTATGGCATCTTTGTTATTTTACCAAGAACACAATCTTACCTATTGACTAAGGGATTATTGCCTGACCTCAGCTTCATTCCACAATAATACATAACAAATCATGAATCGGTAATTTTGATCATTATGGCTCCTTAAAAGGTTGTTTTCTAATACAAATATAGTTGCAAAATTCAAAGTAGATATGCTTTCTTTGCTCTAATCTCTCTATGAATCCGTCTTATGTCCCTTGTTATTCTCTCAACTTCTCTCTAATGTCTGTTCATCTTCCTCTCTTTCCTGGAGTGATTGCTTAATTACCAATCCTCACCCTCAGGCTGTGAGGTGAGCAAATGAAGCAGGATTTATTGGCCGTGTAAAAAGACACGCTTTTAATTTCTCATTCCTCGCCCTCTTTGTCTGTCAGAGTTCACTGTGCTCATTAGTGAATTGTGACACTTCTAATTTAAGGTGTTTCTGGCTTTGTAACGATTCAGTGAGCTTAGTACTTAACAACAGAGGAGGGAACAACTACTGAATAAATGTATGAGGGAATCAATAAATCATAAACTTTGCTTCATATCAAAATTGATATTAACAAATAATGCAATATCATGCGAGCTGGTTTGTATTAAAACATATTTTCAGCTGGTTTCAGCAGTACTAAATAATGGAACGTTAATCAAGCCCAACCTTTCTATGCATATTTTCCAGCTGCATGTTCTTCCTCTGCTCCACTCCTTATGTCTGAAGTCCTTCTTTCTCTTCCCCTTAATCCTCTCTTCCCCTAAGTGCTAGCTCCCAGCCTGGAGCCTCAGGGATCCACACAACTTGATTGTGTTTTGATGTTCTTGTGAAACCTACAAGTGCACTCAGCACTCAAGACCCATAACATACATTCTCAAGACCGTTCACCCAGAGGAAAAGAGACGGTGGGGAAGGGATGAGTATTTACCATTATCCCTGTCAGTGCAGTGTACACACTCGCAGATTCATATATATACTCAATATCCTGTATTGCCATACATGTGAGGGAAACATAAAACATGTTGTATGAACCGTAAATCCTCAATACTTCACTTCATATCATGACCACTGACATGGAATGACTAAACGATATGCCCATTGTAATTCATGTCGTGTTAACCATTTATTTTACTGTGTTTGGTAGCTTGAATTGAAACGTAATAAAACTTCAAAAAATGAAGTGTTTTCAATTACTGGCTAATTATCGTTTTAGTCAGATGAATGCTGGGAGATGTCACCAGACTTTATGTGATAGCAAGAATTACATTTGTGCAGGCGCGAAACAAGGGTTAGGGAGGTGTCAATCAAGCACAGTTGGTAGGAGCCCACAGCCCTGAGAGGAAGTCCAATTCGGCAACATAAGTGGAAACACTTGTGTGGGTTGGTTAGTCTATGTAGGGCTTTTAAAATGATTGACAGCCACACCAAATGCTAACTAAGCATTGCCACTGACTTAAACATTAAACCCAATTAAATAACACAATGTAAAGATTAGTAAATATTAACATGAAATAGTTGTTAAACTCCACTGATGAGCAAATCTTATGTTACCTCAAGTGTTAAAACAGTGATTTTTTTATTTCTACTGGTGTTTTTGTAGATTTGACCATCATTTCTACCATTTTTAATATGTATTTATTTAATTAATATTCACCAAAAGAAAAGCCGTATTAAAGCAGACATCATGCCAAAAAACTTGAACAATAGCTCCCAGTAATCAATGTCAGTGTGACAGTGAGCCAGCATAAACACTATTAGGACCTTTTTAGAAACCATTGAATGAACTCAAGTGTTTAAATGAACACTGCTCTAAATGCTTAAACCTAACTGATCGTTTATTTAAGTAAAGTAATATTACTAAAATACTAACACATTTACAAACTAACACTCATTTGAAGGATAGATTGACTTTTTTTAAAGGTCTCCTATTATACTGTTTTTCATCAATATACTGTATTATTGGTCTCGGATATATACAAAACATGTCTCTGAAGTGTTTGGCTCGAAATACCAAACAGATCATGCATTGTAGCATCCCATAAACCCCTCTGTTTCAGCCCTGTTTCAAAAGTGCTGATTCTCTGTCTGTTACTTTAGATGAAAATAAGGAGCCACTCCCCACGCCCCTCTGAGAGATATTTGGTTAAAAAACACACAATAGGCGCGTTCACACCGGAGTACTTTTACCCGCACTTTTCCCGTTTAGTCCCGTTAGTGCCTGGAATTTTGCGTTCACACNTCGTACTTTTTACAGTACTACGGCTTCCACAGATGACATTTTTTTTAATGGATATTTTGTCAAAGCACTTCAGATATTCATTGCTATCGGGATGTTAAGAGCATTCCATGGAATATAACAAAAAGTGTATCTCGAGCCGGTTTCTCAAACTTACCTATACCCACCTTTAAGTAACATTTTTAGGTAGGCTACTTGTACTGGAATATTTACTTTTTTGCTACTTTGTACTTTTACAATTCTTTTGTAAATAGCTTACTTTTACCCAACTAACCTTTAGTTACTTGGCAGATTTGGATTAAAGATGTGAAATATAAACAACATAATACTTTAGTTACACCTAGAGTAAATCACAAGCTACCCTGCAGCATGCAGATAAATTCAAACTAGCTGCACCTTTTGATAAACACTTTGATGCATACATAATTATAATCAAAACATATGATATATTGTTCTGAAATCTGCACAATGAGTACTTATTCTTTTGGTAAGTATATTTTGATGCTAATACTTGCACTTTTACTTGACACATTTTGAAAGCTGGTTTTTAACTTTTAACGGAGTATTCCTACACTCTGGTAGTTTGACTTTTACTAGCAAGATCTAAGTACTTCTTCCTCCTTTGCAATAAGTCTCTATGTTTAGGTTTTATCCCTGTTTGTAATAATCAGCCTCTCCAGGGCATGTTGCAATGTTGCGTCTTAACTGTTCCTGTTTTGTCTTCTCCTCTGCAGTCCCTCGGGGAGCTATGCATCGTCTGCAGAGCTGAGTCGGTGCAGCAGTCGGCTGAGCGAGGAGGACTATGGCGTTGAGTACAGAGAGAGGGACCCTTACGACGAGAACGACTCTTACCACTCCTGCCACTCCTCGGTCAGCTACAGTAAAGGCTCTCCAGACTGGGACCCCGACGAGACGCAGGGGGCGTACAGCGATGAAGGCGGCTACAGCAAAGACGGAGGAGAGGAGGCGGCTCTGTACGAGGAGGAGGACGACGGAGGACTGTATGAGGGAGAAGAGGAGGGGCTCTACGAGGATGAGGAGGTGATCTACAATGATGAGGATATGTACATCTTGGATGGGACCCTCAGTGAGGACATGGAGGCTCCCTTTACCCCCACCCCAACTTCAACAGCGCCCCAAACTCTGGATGTACCCAGCTCCAGGCCTCCTCTGGAGAAACAGCCGTCCTTACACCAACAGCAGCCCCCTACTCAACCCCCCAACCAGACATCCAACCAGTCTCATCCTCCTGGCATGGCCCCGTCAGCACAGCCCCCCTCTGTCCAACCAACACAACCGCCTAAACAGCCCCCCTCTGGCCAACCAACACAACCGCCTAAACAGCCCCCCTCTGGCCAACCAACACAACCGCCTAGACAGGCCCCAACACAGCCACAGCCGGCCCCCTCTGCCCCCTCAGCCACTTCCTTCTTCTCCATGGCCAATCCCCTCACAGCTGCAGTCACAGGCCTGGCCTCCACTTTCCTTTCTTCTGTTCCCACCGCTCAGCCTGCCCAGACCCACCCTCCAGCCCCGGCAGTGTCTCAGCAACACCAGGCGGCCAGCGTCGTGCCTACATCCCACCCGGCCACCGGGACTAACTCACAGCCCCCCACGTCTACCACGGGCCCTTCCTCCCAACAGACCCCGTTCTCTGGGCAGCCTCAATCTCATCTCAACGGTCCTGCCGCCACACAGTCAGCCGCCCCTGAGGACCAGGACCTCCAGCTTGAGGAAGAGCCATGGCCAGAGGAGGAGATGATGTTTGACAAAGAGGCCAGGACGCCCCCTGCTAAGCCAGAGGAGACCCTCCCTAAAGAGGAGATAGAGGAGGAGTTTGAAGAGAGCAGGCCAGCAACGCCAGAAGAGGAAGAAGAGATGCTCCCGGAGAGGTAGGAGGGAAGTTGGAGAGGGATCAATGAACTAAGCACATCAAAACAGACTTGAAGAAAAACAACACATTTATTATGAATCTGTCGAAATGTATCGGCTGAGGTCATTTGCTAAAAATAAAAACTGTTTTTATGTTTCAGTCCTCCAGTGATAGAGGAGCCCAAAGAGCTGGTGGATCCAGCCGTCAGAGCCAAACAGAACTGGCTAAGGATTTATAACAAAGTCTTAGAGCAGGTCCGGGAGGTAAGGTCACGGTTTGAACCCCCCCACCCCCCCTCACTTCAAATACCAGTCGTTCACAACAAGCCGTCCCAAAGCTGCAGGCCTGATAGAGCTCCACCCTGTAATCTAAAAGATATTCCCATGTTCAAAAGACTCTAAAGCCCCGGCCACACGAGGACGATAACGGTCGTATCTGCTACAGTTCTCTATCAGATAGAGTCTAGACGGTTCGGCCACACGAGGCCGACACGGGAATGCAGATAACGATAACGATAACGGGTCCCTAGGTGGGTAGATCTGCAAACGAAACGCTCTGGGGGGGCAAACGGCTCCGTGTTTACGCCTATACGATCATGTCCTGATAACGCGCAATAGCCCCGCCTCTCCCCACCTCTCCTGCTCAGAGATCAGCTGCTGGGCTCTCAGAAGAGGGGGAGGAAAAGAGAGGCTCCGTTTTTTATTATTATATATAGATTTAAACTTTAACGGACATGTTGACCGGCGAAAACAAATCTAACTAAAACTCTGCTGCACGGTCCCCTCGTCCCTTGAAAGAGGCGGAGAGGTGGGTGTTTTTCATCTGCTGGTGGCAAACCAGAGAGATTTACAGCAGGAGCAAACGCTTGCCTTGGGGAGGGAGAAAAAGAGCCACAGCGGAGAATAAACAGAAGGGCAACCATGTGTGGGAAGTCTTCTTCACTGCTTTTGTGGTAGGAGTACAGTGCCACTTACAGGCCTGGCATATGTACTACAGCGTCTCCAGTGCTTTCGAGCGGTCTCGTGTGAAGGGACTCATTTCCGATGCCTGTTGCTTGGGGACGGAATACTTTTTTGATAACTATTTCGGTCCGTTTACGTTATCGTCCTCGTGTGGCCGGGGCTTAAGTACGGCAAAGTACTTGGTGTGAAAGCGGCTATAGTCAAACACCTTCCCCATCCCTGTAGCTCGAGAAAATAATAACAATGCCAACCATGGAGGAAAATATGTCGATAAGTCATTTCATCAGTTCACAATGTGTTAAATGCTCCTTCTGTGTGTTTAACAGGAGCGGAGAGTGGAGAAGAAAGCCAACCAGACNAATGGCGGCTTCACAACCCCCCCCCCACAAAAAATGGGGGTAAAAGTTCTCGGAACTAAGTTCTCTTTTTGGTGTGAACGCAAAATTCCAGGCACTAACGGGACTAAACGGGAAAAGTGCGGGTAAAAGCGTTAGTGCCTGGAATTTTGCGTTCACACCAAAAAGAGAACTTAGTTCCGAGAACTTTTACCCCCATTTTTTGTGGGGGGGGGGTTGTGAAGCCGCCATTGTATTTGCTGCCATTGTATTTGCTGCCATTGTATTGGCTGGCATTAGCATTATTAGCATTAGCATTAGCCCCGCGCACCAACGGAGAGAGAATAACTTATGGCAACAAAAAAACAAACATGGGAGCGGTGGAGTGATGAGGAGGTGTCGGCGTTCTGGCGAATTTACTCGGAAGGCTTCAGTAGAAGCTGCTGGGAGTCCCAGCAGCTTCTACCGCTTTCACTCCAAAGTACTTGGAGTGAAAGCGGCTATTGGTGCTCTAGGAGGTTATTAAGGTGATAAGGTGGGCGGGGGTTACCTTGGTTGGTGATTGGCTAATGGTTACAAGCCAAAAAATCGTTATGACATCAAGTGAGCTAATCTTTTTTCCTGAAACTTTCAGAATCTCTTTACAGAGGGGACATACGTTTATAAATAAAAGACATGATAAAGTGGATTTTGCATAATAGGTGACCTTTAAGGACCATCTCAGGGTTAATTACTCACATGCCGCAGCATAGGTGCAGTTTGCTGAACGGTTATATTGTTCTCTGTAAAAATGTATTCTAAAGTTCAGCTGAATATGATAGGCTTCAGCAGAAGTAGTTAGAGAAATTGATCCAGTATCTTCCATAGCCGTCCTCTTTAGTGCATAGAGTCTATGCTTAGAAGACAGAAAGGAGGTGTTTGTGTTTTCATATTTCTCTTTCCTGGAGGTAGATCGCATCGATGTGACAGGCGGCTGTTGGCCAGAATATCAAAGCTGGACTGATTGAGGTACTCCCTGAAATCAATGAGTAGGCCTACTATATTTGAAAAATAAGGCTTCGGAAATTCAATATACTGCAGGGATATTTAATAAATCTTGTAATGGAGCGACTTTTAATGATTTTCTGGGAATTTTATTTAGCTATTTACATTGTGTATTTCTGCTATGTAAATCAACATACAAACACAACATGGCTGATTGAGGCATGTTAGGTTAACTTGTTTCCTTGTTAACAAGCAACAGGAGAGTCTAACTGTTTGGGTTAATAAGGAGAATCATGACAGAACATTAACTGATCTACCAACCGTGAAACAGAAACAAATGTTTTATTTTCTAATGTCTCAGAGGGTATTTTTCTTCAAAATGTTGTGTGGTGTGTTAGACACATCACACACACGTATGCACCTTTGCTTATTAGGTTCAACGTATTGCTTTGAAACCAACCTAATTCCGTTTAGGTTTTTTGTTTGACATAATACATTTAATTAAAGTCAACGTTTCTGCTTTATCAGTGTATGGCAATTGAGTGACATTGCTTTTGTTTAACTCTTAAAGGTGGGGTAGGTAAGTTGGAGAAACCGGCTCGAGATACACTTTTTGTTATATTCCATGGAATGCTCTTAACATCCCGATAGCAATGAATATCTGAAGTGCTTTGACAAAAAATCCATGAAAAAATGTCATCTGTGGAAGCCGTAGTACTGTAAAAAGCACGACCAATCATTTTAGCCGGCCCGGCTAAAATAACTGGATGGCCTACCTGCCTGTCAGCCTTCCATCTGTGCACAAACTTATCTCGTGCCCTCATTGGTCATGTGCGCGCTCTGTAAGGAAGTGGCAGATTTTTTCTGGCTGTGTATTTTCAAATTCTAGCGCACTCGAGCTGGTTTCTCCAAAATTACCTACCCCACCTTTAAGGCTTAAGTACGTATTTTTTCAATTAGATGACAGCATAAAGTCAGAATATAGTCTACAACACCTAAACTTTGTGTATTTGTAATGTTGGGTTTTTAAACTTAAGCTTCTT